CACCTGGTATTTCTGGCCACTGTGTGACACAGAGTGTTGGACTGGATGGGCCTTTGGCCTGATCCAACATTGGCGTCTCTTATGTTCTGCCCCTCTGTCTTCAGCTTTCCCTCTCTCCCCCTTCAGCATCCTCTTCCTTGGAAAACTACGGCCCAGTTCTGTGATGCCGGCCACAGGTCCAGGTCAACCTGCATGGTAGGGAGCCCTCAAGAAGTTGGGGGGCACCGGACTTTCCCCTCTGCCCCCCCCACCCCATTTCCTCTTTTCCTCCTCTTGGCTACCCCCATATTCTCTCCCCTTTTCCTGCCTCCTTTTCTCCTTCTCAGCCACTCACCAACCTGCCTTTTAACTGCTCTCATCTTCATCAATATTTGTTATTTATTTATTGGTGTAGTGGTTAAGTGCGCAGACTCTCATCTGGAAGAACCGTGTTTGATCCCCCACTCCTCCACTTGCACCTTCTGGATGACCTTGGGCAAGCCATAGTTCTGTCAGAGCTGTCCTTGAAAAAGAGCCATTTCTGTCAGAGCTCTCTCAGCCCCCCCACCTCAAAGGGTGTCTGTTGTGGGGAGGGGAAGGGAAAGGAGATTGTAAGCCATTGTGAGACTCCTTTGGGTAGTGAAGGGCGGGGTATAATTCCAATCTCTTCTTCTTTATTTAGTCCCTGGGTCTCTTCACAGTGGGGACCAAAGGAACTTGCATCATTCTACTCTGCTCCTTTTTATCCCCACGACACCCCTGTGAAGTAGGTTACGCTGAAAGTATGTGACCGGCCCAAAATCACCCAGTGAGCTTTCACAGCGAAATGGGGATTCGAACCCGAGTCTCTGAGACCGTCCTCTGACGCTCTTAACCAGGACACCGTACTGACTTTCATAGGGCGGCTGCTGTTGAACAGGATCCAGCAGCCAGTCGTAGGGGAGTCAGGCAGGTCAGGTGGTAGGAAGTCACCCAGCGGTTACTGTCAGGCCTAGGGCTGCCAACTTCCAGGTGGGACCTGGAGATCTCCCAGAATCACAGCTGAACTCCGGACAACAGAGACCAGTTCCCCTGGAGAAAATGGCTGCTTTGGTGGGTAGTTTCTATGGCAGTATACATCCTAAATTGCTGTTGGGCTGGGCTGTGGGAGATCTGCGAAGAGTGAACCAACTGCAGCTAATACCTGAAAAGACGGGGGGGGGATGTTGGTTGGGGAGGTGGAGCTCTTGAGCGACACCACACTCCCCACTTCTGATGAAATTCAGCTGACCCCTTGCTGAGATAGTTAAGGTCCTGGGGGTAACGTCAGACCCAACCGGAGTGCTGTAGAAGCCAGTTAACACCTCTCCAAATAAATGCTGCTTTCCAACTCAGCCGAGCCCATAAGATGGCCTTGATACGGCTGATCTGGCCACCTGGACCCACACCACGGTGACATCCAAACTAGACTTCTGTAATGCACTGTCCATTGGTCTTCTTTTAAAATCAAATCAGAAACTCCAGTTGGTGTGGAATGCCCTGGCACAGCTACCATCAGGAGCTGGATTGATGGCCCAGGTTGGCCCGATCTCATCCGATATCAGAAGCTAAGCAGGGTTGGCCCTGGCCAGTGTTTGAATGGGAGACCTCCAAGGAATGCCAGGGTCGTGACATGGAGTCAGGCAATGGCAAGCCACCCTTGCTTTGAAAACCCCGCATGATCACAAATACATCAGCTATGACTGGTCAGCCGCCCTGAGCCTACGGGGAGGGCGGGATAAAAATCTAAATAATAAATAAAATAAATAAATAATAAAGAAGCAAAGAATAGGCATCAACGGGCAGGTTTCCCAGTGGAGGGGAGTTAGCAGTGGGGTCCCACAAGGAATGGTATCGGGGCTGGGTCTATTTATTTCTCAGTGATCTGGAACTATGGGTGAACAGCATATTGGCTAAGTTTGAGCTGACGTCAGACTATTCAGGATGGTGAGATCCAAGGCTGACTGGGAAGAAGGAGGAGGAGGGGATTGGATTTATACCCCCCGTCCTTGACTACCCAAGGGAGTCTCAGAGCGGCTTACAATCGCCTTTCCCCTCCCCTCCCCACAACAGACACTCTGTGAGGGAGGGGAAGAAGAAGAAAAAAAAGAAGAGATTGGATTTATACCCCGCCCTTCACTACCCAAAGGTGTCTCAGAGCGGCTTTCAAACTCCTTTCCCTTCCCCTCCCCACCACAGACACCCTGTGAGCTGGGTGGGGCTGAGAGAGCTCTGGACAGAAACTGCTCTTTTTCAAGAATAGCTCTTATTGGAACTACGGCTTGCCCAAGGTCCTCCAGCCAGGTGCAAGTGGAGGAGGAGTGGGGAATGAAACCCGGTTCTCCCAGATTAGAGTCCGCGCATTTAACCACTACCCAAGCTGTCGAAACTGGTGGGGCTGAGAGAACTCTCTCAAGAACTGCCCTTGAGAGAACAGCTCTGAAAGAACTTGTGACTGACCCAAAGTCACACCAGCAGCTGCATGGGGGGGAGTGGGGAATCAAACCCCGTTCTCCGAGCTCAGAGTCCGCACTCACCACTATACCAAAGTGGCTGTCCAAGGGGACCGCCACAAACTGGGTGAGTGGAGGATAATGTGGCAAACACAGTTCCATGGCGGACAGACCCGCTTTGCCTGGCAGACCCAGCTCTGCCCAGATTTGGTGGCAGGCACAGCAGTGGGATAGGGACAGGCAGAGGACTTGCCCGGCCAGGCCTTTTGAACCTGGCACACCTGTGCCCCCAGGGAGAGCCACCTGCAGGGCCCCGAGCCCAACCCCCTGCTCGATGCAGGGTCAGCCTAGACTAGAGCGTCCCTGACCAGGATTTGTCCAGTCACTCCTTGGAGACTGCCCGCTAGGGAGGGAGGGGAGCCCCCCACCTCCCTGGACAGCTGACCGCCCTGGGGCACAACGCTGACGGTCCAAAGGGTTTTCCTAAGGGGATCCAGCCGGGACCAGTTCCCGCTCTTCATGCAGAGCCTTTGTTTCCAGTCCAGGAGCAGCTCCCCGCCCTCCTCGAAGGGACGCAGGCAGCCCTTCGGATGGTTCCCGAGAGCCATCCTGTCCCCCCTCCGCCGCCTCTTCTCCGGACGGCACCTACCCACGGAGTCCCCCGGCCTTTCCCCGCTGCAGGGCTTCATTGTCTCCAGGCCCCGATCGTCCTCGCCATTCTTCTCCGCCCCCGCTCCAGTCTGCCCACCTCTGGTTCGAAGTCAGGCCTCCAGACACCGTGCACGGAGGAGATTGGATTTATTGGATTGGTCCTTGACTACCCAAGGGAGTCTCAGAGCGACTTACAATCTCCTTTCCCCTCCCCTCCCCTCCCCACAACAGACACCCTGTGAGGGAGGTGAAGAAGAAGATTGGATATATACCCTGCCCTTCACTACCGAAAGGAGTCTCAGAGCGGCTTACAAACTCCTCGCCCTTCCCCTCCCCACAACAGACACCCTGTGAGGTAGGCGGGGCTGAGAGAGCTCTGACAGAAACTGCTCTTTTTCAAGGACAGCTCTTGTCAGAACTATGGCTTGCCCAGGGTCATTCAGTCAGGCACAAGTGGAGGAGGAGTGGGGAATCAAACCCAGTTCTCCCAGATTAGAGTCCGCGCATTTAACCACTACAACAAACTGTCGAAACTGGTGGGGCTGAGAGAGCTCTCTCAAGAACTGCCCTTGAGAGAACAGCTCTGAAAGGACTTGTGACTGACCCAAGGTCACACCAGCAGCTGCATGTGTGGGGGGGAATCAAACCTCGTTCTCCGAGCTCGGAGTCTGCACTCCTAACTGTGGAAAGAAATTTTAGAAATATAGAAAGTTTGGGTTTAAAATGGAACCTAATATCTTATGAAATCCATGCGTCTGTCTCTGTGTTTGCTAGAACCAGGCCATGATTCTTTGCAAGCCCTTTGTTCTAGACAGAGCATTCCTCTCAGTGTACTCAAAATTCACAACATTCCATTCCCAGGATTTGAATCAATATAAGTCTCTATAAGTGTGAGACCCACAATTTTAAAGGCAATAAAATTGCAGCTGGTCAGGAAAGCCATTTGGACAATGACAGACCCTAATCCAAAATGCAAACTCAGGAGCAACAGGATTTCACATACCCCACTTCCCCCTTAGAAGATAACTTTGAAGTTAGCTCTTTGATAGCTTCAAAGGACAGTGTAGCCCCAATGGTGGGAACACCAGGAAAACAATAGCACCTTCCAGTAAATAAGAGTGTGAACTTTTGTTGTAAGGAAGCAATTTACAGCTAAACAATTTCAACTTCTAGGAAGCAATTTACAGTTAAACAATTTCAACTTCTAAATGTTAATTTACAACTGTAATATGGTTATCAAGGAACTCCTTTGATCATTTGGTATAAATACTGGTGAAATCCAACAGAATTTCGTTGGCTTCTGAAGGATCAGGAGAGGCTTAGCCTCCTGAGAATTTGGAGTCAACCCGAAAGGGCCCTTTCGCTTCTTGCATGCTTTGGGGTGGGATACTTTGCTGGCATGTTCATTTTTCTGTGTGTGTTTACTATCTATAGTTGTTGAAATAGAAGTGTACTGTTTTGGCAAGCTGACAGCGT